GAAAAAATGTCATAAAAATCCTTATTAATGGCAAAAATTACTTAACATTTACGGGTCTGCTTGCTCGAGTGGGCAGCCATGTTGTAAATTTCTCTTAGCCCTTCGTTTGAAGTGAGGTCCCGAAAAATCTTCGTTTCGAGGGCTATCTAGCCCTTCCCCTTACCCCTACCCCTCCAATCAAAAGAGAATTGAGACACCCCTACCCCTACACGTAAGTGTAGGGGTACGGGGTAGAATTGGGATTGGGCCTTAGTCTGGGGAAATGTACCTGTGTCTATTTTTAATTTATTTTTTTTTACATTTTTTATTAGGAATAACCTTCAATAACTTTGTGACAGTTAAGTGTAGTGTCACCAAAATCACTACACAACTCTACAGTGTCATCATGGTCATACTACGAAGTTCGAATCTGCCAATATCTGCCAACTTTACCGAACTCTTCGGCTCGCGTCCGCCCCCATTCATCAAATTATAGCCTACCAGGGAAAAAAAATTGTACGGTAATGCATGTGTAATACGATCTACATTCATTTGGTCGGAATTGTTGGAGCTGGAGCTTGTTTTGGCTCTTACCCCCGAAGAAATGAGAATCATTAATGTTTTATGTCTTTGGGGCTGTTTTATATTTTGCTTCTCAAAAGAAGGTAAGGAAAGAACTCTCTAGCAGCTAGTTTATTCTGCATGTAAACATTTCTTCGAAAAGTGACAAAATGCTAAAACAATATGTACATTTGTAGTTTTTCTTACAAAAGTATTTTTAAAAAGCATTTTCTACAAAATACATACGCCAACGTAGCCCGCGTAAATCATGGGGTTCTAGACGACACAACAACCCACCGTGCAGTAAAAATAACTAAAACTCTTACCCAATATATTGTTTTTGATAATCAACCATTGTCGGTCCTTGATAACGTCGGATTTAAGCGCTTTCAGAATGCGTTGAAACGTTTCTCTCAGATCCCAGTGATATAAGACATGAATGATACTACGTATCTGATAAAACATGTGTTTGAAAGTTCGAGTCTATTCAATAGGGATTTTGAGGTTTTTTTGTCTGATTTGAAAATTTGAATTTAACACAGCCTCACAACTTTTTTGCAAATAGGGTTGTACATTGTTGTCTATCCCATCTTTTCTAGTTAAATGCTAGACACATTTGAATAGGGTCTTTTTGATACGGTGTTCATTTTAGGACATCCTCAGGTCTTATGAAAAAATCCGTCAAACTTCAGACAAAACGGCATCAGACATCGAACTCAGACAAAACGGACTCGGGTGTCAGGAAAAAAACCGTCAGACTTCAGACAAAACGGCATCAGAACAAACGGACTCAGACAAAGCGGACTCGGACAAAACGGCATCAGAAAAAACTTAAAAAAAATTTTTTTAATACATTTAATATAAAAATGTAGAACTATTATTGTTCGCTACTATTTTGCTTAGATTTATTTTTTTTCCAGACATTTGTTCAAGATGTCATCTGGCAAGGAATGCAAAAGGAGTATCCAACTATGGCAGTTTGACACTGGCTTTGTTTGAAGCTGTTATCACAGTTTATTATATGATGTAAAGTTACTAGTCCACTAAGTTATTGAGAAGAAAAGTAGCCTTTTGAAAAAATGTTGAAATAAAATACATTTGTCTTACTTATGTGGTAATTATTTTTAATTTTGAATTTGGGGTGTAATTAGATTTAAATCCCATAACATGTTTGGCTGGTAGAGGTGGTAATAGAAAGGTGGTTGTCACATTTAATTTTGTAGATGCAATGATAATGTTGTTATTCAACCAGGGATTTAAACAAAGGGAAATTAGCTGTGTACTGGGCTCACAAGGACATCAAGTTAGGTAAGCCTACATTTAGAAAAGTGTGTTGCTGTATCAGCATTGATATGACACATCTAGCGTGACCACCTAATCCATGTCAGGAGGGACACTATGAGCTACTCCAGGTTTTACAAATACTTTAAAACTGAAAGG